TCCTTCGCCAGAGCACGCCTTCGACAAGTCCTCGACAGTCTGGAGGACGAAGCTCTCCTCCAGGATGAGGGGGGCGAGGTGGAGGATGAGGGGAAGGGGGCGGAGGGGGAGGGGGACCGGAGACAGGAGGATGAGGAAGCTGATGAAGCAGACCAGAAGAGAAATGAAGGGGGTTTTGAGGGAGATGAGTGGGACCAGGAACAGGATGGGGCGGATAAGGAGGAGGAAGAGGGAGGCCGGAAGGACAAGAGGCTCCAGGAAGAGGACGAAGGGTATCAGGAAGAGGACGAGGAGGACCGAGGGGAGGTCGAGGGGTATCAGGAGGATGAGGGAGATCAGGACGAAGAAAGGGGAGATGAGGACGTGAACGAGGGTCGGGGGAAAACTGGCGAGGGCGACTTTGAGCGAGAGGATCGGCGTTATCTTCCTCTTGGGAAAGCAGGTGACGTTAGTCGGTTTGAATTTATCTCTTTTTTCTCTCTCAATCTCTCTTTTTTCTCTCTCTCTCTCTCTCTCTCTCTATCTCTCTCTCTATCTCTCTCTCTCTTCTCTCTCTCTCTCTCTCTCTCTCTCTCTTTCTCTCTCTCTCTCTTTCTCTCTCTCTCTCTCTCTGTATATACATGCATACACACACATACACACACACACACAAACAAACACACACATACACACTACCTCTTACACTAATCAAGGTAATTATTCATGACAAACATAAGTCACGAAAGATAAAAACCCATTTTTTTCCTCAGGTGTGTCGGTTTGAACTCATAATCGGCAGGTAAACTGTTCATTAATTTCGCTTAATTGCGTTTTACCAATTATCTGTGCTTATGGGTTGGTTATTTGTATTTTTTTTATGCTGTTGGTATGTTGGTAGTATGCGTGTATGTGTGTGTTTGAAGGAGTCTTATTACGTGTGTGTTTATGTGTGTGTGTGTGTTGCATGTCTCTGTGTGTATGTGTTTGCGTTTGTTTGTCATCTTTTTTGTGTGTGTAAGTGCATGCGTCCGTGTGTGTGTGTGTAGAGAGAAACAGTTAAATTGATATAGAAAGGTAGGAAAGCGTATGAGCACATTATTATCATCATCAACCACAATGTTATTTTCATTAACACATTATCATCATTCTTCTTCTTATTCTCATTCATCCTCTACCTCCTACTCTCACTGTACACATCCTTATCTATCTCTTATCTATCTCTATTGATTACCATTATCAACAACAGTAACCATTATTCCCATCACCATTACCCCTTATCTCCTCTCCTCCTCCCCCTTCCCACCACCTTTATCCATCCGCCTCTCCATCTCCCCTTCGCCTCCCACCTCTCCATCTCCCTCTCTCTCTCTCTCCCATCCCTCTCCACATCTTCACCAACAGCATCCTTCTCTCCTCTGTGTGGTGCAGCTGTAGCGATCTTATCTAGCAATCTCGCTGACCTGCGTTCGAATCCCTCGCCGACAGTAGATGGCAACCCCGGCCATTCCTTACACACAGGGGATAACTTAGAAGCAAAATGAAACAGACAGCATGTCACACCAACAATATCCATTGCAACGAATGGAATCAAACTAAACCAAACTAAACCTCTCCCCTCCTGCAGGATTCCCAGAGGAAGAATCCTACAGGGATATTAAACTCGACTTCAAACGGTCATCGCGAAGACTGTGGCCTGATGACGGTGATGAATTCTGCTCCAGGTGAGAAATGGAGTTTTTTTTTTTTTAATTGTGTTCTGGGTATGTGAAAAAAGAAGGGAAAAAGGAAATTTGAGTGTTGGTGTTGTGATGATAGGTGTCGGTGTTATTGTTATTATCATCATTATTATCCTTATTATCATCATTATTATCCTTATCATTATCCTTATTATTATCATTATTATAATTATTATTATCATTACTATCATTATTATTATCATTATTATCATTAATATTATCATTATTATCATTATTATTATCATTATTATCATTATTATTAGCATTATCATGATCATTGGTATCATTATCATTATTATCATTATCATTGTTATTAATATCATTATAACCATTATCATTATTATTAGTATCATTATTACCATTATCATCATTAGCATTATCATTATTTTCAGTATCCTTATTATCACTATCATTATTATTAACATTACCATTGTTTTTTTTGTTGTACTTATAAGTGTTGTTATTGTCGTCGTTATTGCCGTTAGTATTTTCATAATTATCATTAACTTCGTTGTTGTTGGTGTTTTTGTTGTCGTTGTTATTGATGATGATGATGATGATCGTCACCATCATTATCATCATTATCACTCCTATTAGTTTCGTAATGAGGATTATCATCATGATTATTACTGTCATCATGATTTTTCCTACATTTTCCTTATCTTCTTCTTATCTCTCTTCTTATACATTTTTGATCTATTCTTTTTCATTCTTTCCTCAGCAACAACAACGAAACACTATTTATATATTTATTTTTCAATATTTTTTTCTCTCTCTAATCAGTC